TTGTGTCTCTTTTCCTTAGATTAAAAAGTCAGGAACAAGTTAGTTATTTTATGCCACTTGCAGCAATTGTAAACTTTTGTTAAGATGAACTTCGAATATGTATACTGATTTTGAACATGAATTAGTGTTTGACGCTAAAGTTTAAATCTACTGTCGACTTATTTACCCTATTGCTTATGAAATTAGAAACATGAATTAAGATCCACACATCCATTTGAGAGGAGCCTCAGTGTAATCCATTTCTTGGTAATTTTTCTAATTATTTAAAATTCAAGGGAGACTCAATTTTGGTTTTTCATCCGCCCAAGTTAAGATTTCATTTACTTCATAAAAATGAAGTCAGTAAGCCCTAGTTGCGTAATCATTAAAACAGTTCGTGCGCACAAAATTCTCTAATTCCACGTATTTGCGCATACTATCTTCCTTATTTCACTGTATATATCACTGTTGTATAAGTACTTAACAAACACTCGTTGTAAAGTTAACTTCATTTCCATTTTTTGCATATATGTGTTAACATTTTTCGTCCTGATGTGTATGTATGTTTCACTAAGTGACCATACAAAGTGATTTTTATTTAATCTATTTTATAGATAACTAGTTTTCCAAACAAAACTACTTTTCCATTCCACTTGTTTTACTCACTACCCTGATTTCTTTTACCTCGTTAGCTCTCAAATTCCCTTCGTCTGCATACTTCTCCCTATTAAATGTTTTTATTCGATAAGTCTTTAATTCTATGTCCTAAAATCAATTATAAAGTGATAATCTACGGAACTCTTTCCTTTCCTTTTTTCTCATTTCAGTATGATAATAATAAAGAGATTTTTTATTATTTACTTCCATTCTCAAATAATGACTTGTGCCCCATAGGTCAATTGATGATTATTTTGTTCTGAGGTTGTAACATTTTTTGTTGTTAGTGTTGGTGTGCTTGTTTCCTTCAGGTTTGCTCAACTTGTTATATACATCTTTTTTTGGTTATTTTTATGGGTAAATTTAAGAGGGAGTAATGCATTTGCCTTTTTAATAGTCATTTCTACAAGTCTATTGATATTTGGCCAATTTAAATCCCATGGGGATGTATACAGATTACGTTTCGGAGAAAGCAAAGATTAATCTACCCCAAGGGCATATAATATAAGATGTGATAACGCAAAGTTAGTAAAAATGATTTAATAAAGAAAATTCCTTCTTGTATAACTCTATTACACTTATTATAAAACAGTTTTGACTGTTTTAATCAAAAAGTAGTTAAGTATGAATTTAACAGACATGAATTTATGGAGGTTTTCAGTATGCATATGCAAGTACAATTTCCAGTGTATTATCTTTTGAATTCATTGATAGTGAAAATTACTTGTAAAATTCCATACGCCTCAATGAATTTTAATTTTAAGTTATATGATTACGTAACACTTTCAGGCTATATGTTTACTGAACACTCATGTGTGTTCTATAGATAATTGTGGAATTAATTTCATAGCTTTTGTGAGCTTGATCGACATCAGTGAGGATTTCGTCATGAATCGACGTCAGCTACAAAACCACTAAAGTCCAAGGAAAAATAGATAGGTTCATCATCTTGTTTTTGTGACTCTTCATCATCATGAATACAAAACTGCACCAGGGATGGACCACTGGTTATATGCTATCTCATAATTCATTGACTATAAAGTAACCTTTATTACGTGAATACGATTTCGACAAGGAATGGTGTTCAAAAATTATTTGCATCTGGTAAGGCTGTTACATTCTCACAGTGATCTCAGTCTATCGATTATTATTTCTAAAATGAAATATTTCAGACCAACAAAGAGCACAGTGCAGTTTGAGTTTGTAAGTTTCAAAAAATTTATCACTAATTTTTCTTCTTTATTAAAAAAAACGATAAAGTGGGTGATGATTCATGAAAGTGTTAAGTCAAATTTCATTAGTGCAAAAATACAGTTTGGTCACTGTGGTAAGAGTTCCAGTCAGTTTGACTGTTGATTACACCATACACTGAAACTGTGTTCTTTATTCACCTCCAATAAATCCTATCATTTTATTTACGTATACATCTAAAAATGAACAGGAAATAAGTTTTGTCAACAGTTGGCCAGACAGTAGGACTAAAATTTTTTAAGAGTTAATGGGTCTTTATGGCGAACACATTTAGATAAAGTGTCACTGGTCTGTAGAATAGTTTCATTTATTTGGCCGATACGCACAACATGCTTCATTCTAAAACACACAGTAAGACCTATAGAACAAAGAAAGAGATCTACCGCCTAAATCACAGAAGCGTCATTCTAAAACCTGATAGAAAGAAGTGGTACCAAAGTACATGTACAAAGAGCTGATGTGTCACCGAATAGTCAGCAATTTTCAAGCTCCACTAATAGCGCAAACTTATTGAACAGATAGTGATCAAGCCTATCCTAAAGAATAGCAAAACAAAATTTTGATCTTTGAAACTCCTACACTAGGCTACAATTTCAATGGGGAATACAAATACATCGATTATATGCAACAAACTAAACACATTCCCTTCATTTCAATGATGGTTACCACAATGTTAGTGTCAGAAGTGCTTCTTTACAAAAGTACAATAAGAAACCGAAACTTTGAACACAGATGTTCATAAAGGATAACTTCTGAGAAGTTCCTTATTCTCAAATAAGTACATCTTTTATCATTTTGAATAAATTTTTGATCCTAAACTAATATATTGAATAATTAGTTTTATAATCTAAATAACATCATGTCATCTATTGCCCTTAAAGCTAAATGTACCATTACTTTATTTGCCATGCTTATTAGTATTCAACGGGAAAGCCACAATTTTATTTAGTTTTATCCGTTCATCCTATTTTGTTCAATGGTGTCATTTTTTGCCTTTCTTGCAACAGTCAGGTAAATCTTGTGCAAGAGTCTTAACTTCTAGAAATCAGTAACATACTATATGAATCTCTTTCGAGGATCCTCTTTGTTTGCTCTACAATACACAAACGTTATCTCTTTTCGTAATTTTAGGTGGATAAGAAACTTGCATTGAGTATTAGAAATGATTATCCATTCTACGTGTATGGACACGGTTGGTCATCAGTCGATCCAAATTTAACATGGAAACAACAACATTTGTTATGCAGACAACTGCAAATAGATGATATTTGTTTAGTACTAACCTACTGTGTTCATTCAACCGGTAAAAGCAGCCGAATTTCTACTTTAAAAGCTAATAATATTAAATTATCATCCTCAAATGAAATTAACCAGTCAAAATGTGGATTGCAGTCTTCTTTTCTAAAAGCAGTTAAGTCTGTGGATACTGAATTCGAAAGTGGTTCCTTATCATTAACTTATTCCAAAAAGTAAGATGAATGTTAAGAGCAATTTTAAATGCTACTCCGTTTTTTCCAACTTAACGTTTTAGTTCATTGTGCTGAAGAAAGTTCATTTACTCTTGTTTTCGCAATTTGATTTTCTTTCGTAATATATCAAGCTGTTATCTCTTTTCGTTTTTCTTTGAGAAGTATGTGTTAATGGGGAGAACATAATAATAATAATATCCTCTTTCTGTATCTGTGATTCCTACTAACTGAAAATCCTTTGACATTTGAAAGTCTACGAACAACTACGATTGTGCATATTTTGTTGATTTAAAAGTGGCGCTAACAGACTGAATTTTGACAGTATGAGTGTAAAACTTCAGGTCGAATGGAAAGGATAGTTATCACGTTTCTTTCCAATCACATCAACACTCACTCACTGAGAATTCAGCCGGCAATACCTCCCGAAGTTATGGTTAGAATGATCAGACTTAATAAATTAATCACTGGTTAGTAAGGTATGTAGCTTTTAATTCTTAAGTCAAATGAACAGTAAATAACCTCAACTGACAGAGAGCATTACAACATCACACACTAGGGATACCTGAGCAAATCTTAGCACGCTATTCCATACATTTAACGAGGTTATGAATACGAGTTGCTACAAATTAACTTGTAAACACTTGAGGGTATAGTGTCTCAAAAGACAAAAAACGTAACTTGAAAAATCGATTACAAGAACAGTCAACATCGCTTTATTGGTTAATCCAGTTAACGGGTAATCATCAGATTATATGGGTATCAACGAGAAGTCAAATATCATGATGCGATATAGATATATCACTGCAGGTTAAAGTAGGACAATGTGGTAGGATTACAAGACTCAGGCTTCAAAACTCCAGCGGAACAATAAACCACTTACAATACACCATCGTTCAAATCTGATGTTTATAAACACATGTTCGTGCACCTTTAAAGTACTTCATTTCTATGTGAAATCAATGGTGAAACATTTGCACTCAAAGTATTGTCACCTTAATTCTGAACCTCAAGTTTTCTCTGCTATTGTGGCATCATATAGTGTATCTAAAACCTTTTGTAAATGTTACTTCGACGTTTTGGATACGTAGTCAATTTTTAAAGTGATACAGTGTTTATTTTTAGATGTCATTCCTTGGACATGAATCATACCCGTTCAGCGTTTGCTCAAGTTGATGCACCTGTACTTCTTAAGTTTTTACCAAGTTATTCTAAATATTCAGGGAAGCTGTTAATTATTACTTAAAATCAAAATTAGCATTTGACCATGTGTATTCGCAATTCTCTCTTACAAAGAAAAGAGTGTAAACGGATGCTTTAGACAGTATTTTTCACAAGAAGTTCTTATTAATCGGATCTCCCCTGTTTTTAAGTTCTTTCCAGCATGATGATGCTCCCTTTACATGATGTTTATCTTGATCTCAGTATTCAATATTAGTTTTTCCTCTCAAGTAACAAAATTTAGACAGAACGCCAAGTAATAATGCATGACAACATTTCGACTTCGAAATATTTTTTTCAAAAATTACATTTTTAGAAGACCGCAACCAAATCAGTGCATGTTGTTCTGTGTCTTTTCAAATTCTATGTAAATAGTTTTTACTCTTCAAAAAAAATAAAACATAAATTTACTTATTTTAATTTTAGAAAAATTAACGGTGATATCATTTCTGAGCCACTTCATAAATGGGCGACCCCACTTAACTCGAAATATGATCCACATCACTCTCCACTGACCTTATCTTCTCCACGTGATGAAATGAAACGCAAACAGTATGATGATGATACACACGTGATTAAGAGACCTAAATTAGAAGCGCCTTTTCAGACAAAAGTCAAATCTAGCTCAAGTACATCACATCCGTTTTCCGCCTGTAATCTAGCCAAGTCTCCAGACAATATGTAGAAGTCAAATTAAAATATTCAATCTCTCGAAAAACACGCATTACTATAGAACTGTATATCGAAGCAGTAGAAGAGTACCGGATATTTGTAGTCTGTTTGTTTTTGGAAATCAAATATTTGACAGTGATATTCATACCGTCATATGTTGCGAAATTTCCAAATGGATTTTATTTATCACTATATCATCTCATCTTCTTCCTTATGTTTTACAATTCAACTGAGCATTTGCAAATAAATGAAAGATGTTTGTTACATCATCTGCAATGTGCAATTTGTTTCTAAAGGTTGACTGCAGAGAATCCAATGACTACTATAAAATAAATTCTGCTGATTACTACATGTGGACAATGAAAATATTAAAACAATATTTCAAGTTGAATACCAAGTGAAAGATGATCAAATGAATTACTGATGAGTATTTTGCATTCAGTTCCATACTGGAACAAATAATAAATTACTGCATTCCTTTCACTTCACTCAGTAATCCATAATCATTTAACACAACAAAAGTAATAAGTCAGTTTTATTTACCCAATAAACTCCTGAATTCAAATTAAATGTGTAACTTAGCCATTTTGTTTTTGACTGTGATCACGAAAATTATATAATTTCCATATCTGAAATTTATGACTAAGATGTCTCATTGAATCTGCACATTGTTGGGCAGTTCTCCAGCATCTGTTTGAATGAATATATTTCAAGGAGTCCATAATTATAATAATGTTTTTAGATTAACATTTTCAATATGCATCATTATGTCTCAGTGAATTGTTCGCCACCTTAGGTTTCAAGGGGAAAGTGCCTGCATTAACATTATACTTCAGAAAAATCACGACAAATCTATTCTCAGTGAAAGAATAAATGACACCATTGGTGAATTATTCGTTTAGTTGTGACTACAATGAAGATACTTAAATTTTGCTGCTCTAGTTTCTGTTTACCAGACAGTGAAATAGACAGATTTAAGTAGCAATGTGTGCAATACCGATTTAAAAATATAAAGACTAAAAAGTTGAACATCCTAACGATTCAATATCATCTAACAGTTCAATGCCAAAATTTCTGTGACATTCACTTTAAGTCCCAACAATATGTTATGAGATATAACCATCTTTTAGAGACCCCCCAAAATATTCTCTTAGTTTTGTTACCGTTTCTATAAAGTGTTTCTTATTTACACATTAGAAACTAAGTTTTTCAATGCATATTAAAGTTATAAAAGACGTACTGTTAACTTTGATTTGAGAACCTTTTGGCTTAGGATATTATGGCTTAAGTCTTCATGTTTAGACTTTCTATGACGCAATACTTAGGAGGTGGAAAGGAAGAACACTGTTAAGTCTGACCAAAGAGAACAGTGTGAGACTTTTTCTGAACTTTGTGTTAAAATAAACTAAATGTAATAAAAATACACTACCTCTCTATTCCAGCTTTACTTAATACATAACAATGTAATTGAAATGGAAACAAAACTTGGACGGTTTATATCAAAGCAACAGTAGAACTCAAGGCATAGAAATGAAAAATGATTTATAAATAATCATTATTTATAAACGAGTAAAAGTCCGCTTTTATGTTTACTACAGAATGATTAGTATGCCTGATATTTTCTTTGTAGTTCTCTGTGTACAGCTGAATGCTTATACGCAAATAACGCATGTACCGATCTTCATTCATTTCTTTTTAAAAATCTTCACAACTGAATATACTGAACATATTTAAGAATAGATTATAAATTATAATGTGCCGCCTTAAAACGTAAACAATCCAAGTATAACAATGTAAACAGTAAGTAGAAGATAAGCTAGCATAATAAGGATTTATCTTTCAGCCTTATCCTCATCGGCTCTTCATTTCTCTTATCTCTGCTTAAGAATTTATTCAATGTGTAAACATCCACCGCTGTATATATCCACTATTCTTCACCGACTAAAGAAGTCCTTGTTTCCATTTACATACATGTGCTTTTATAAGAATGTTTAGAAAAAACTAAATGATTATTTATCTGGTGCCGTCACTCTATGTTTTGCATGTATAAGTTATAGTTGTTTGGCTCAATAAGTCGAAGAGCAGGAACACTAACAGAAGACAATCAAAATAACTACAAATATTTGTAAATGATTTCCACTTACGCATAAACTGTAGAATTCACTGAATACTGACGTCTATCAATATAAGCATATAAAGCCTGTCAAAATGAGTGAGATTTTTTGTTTGTAATATGAAGCCAAGACATTTCATAGGAATAGACACAATAAACCTTCAGATGTAAGCGAACGGACACACAAACACATAAACCTAGTTGTATGTATTGCCACAAAATACGATTTAAGGTTTTTTTGTGGGGCTGATGTAGGAACTGACAGAACAAAGAGGAATTACAATAAAACAATAATACGATTTCGGAGACAGGAAAATTAATCATGCTAATGTCAGTTGTAGTTGTGATTTTTTTGTGACTGTTTTTATTACCAGAGCAACTTCCCGAAAAACAAAATCCCTGCATTGTATGATTTTTCGGCAGTGGTGGTGGCATCAGGGTGAATTATATTCAAATGGGCGTGTTTGTGTACGTGTGTATGTTTTCAGGGTTAATAATCATAACAGTGTTCACTACCCAACATCACTAATATAATAACAACAATAACAAACAGATCAATTTGGCAGGAGGAAGGCAAGTGATTAGCAGAATTATTTTTTATTGGGTCACATAGAAGTAAACATGAATTTATAAAATTTCCCATGAAATCAAAAGCAGCTGAAAATAACAGCATAAAAAGTAAGGTAAACACAAAACTACAGGCTAAACACAATAAATACATACCAATATTCTTTAAGATGAAATCAATGACAATAGTCAATGAAATCAGATTGTCGCCTACACTAATATAAGTTTCAGCGATCAGGTCTCATCATGCTGCGAAAAAACTTCTCAGTTGTCACTTGAAATATTTTTGTGAATTTTAGCCATTTATTCTAGAGTATTACCCAGTTTATAATCACGTGACATAAATACTTTTCTCACATCCCACAGAATAGTATAAACTAAAGTTTTCGCACGACACTATGTATTATTTAGAAAAAGTGGTCTGTGATTTGACTGACTATGCAATATTTTGTCGCTGTCGGTGGTTCCAATATAAATCATAGGACAAATTAAAAGAAAGACACCGGTAACTCTCCCATGATAACTACGATTTTGATCGGTGTTTCATTATATTAAATGTACGAATCTCATCATGACTTGATTAATCACCTAGGGAAAGCATTCTGCATGAATGTAAAACAAAAAGATAATCTTATCTCACATTTGAAAAATACACGTTATCTCCGAATATTGCTTCAGTAGTAATGAAGTCAATGCAAAACAAAACCTATTCGCTACAAACAGTTGAAAACTGAGGTTACCTAAAAGTGATGTAGTAGACAATAGGGAAAACTGGGAAACCCATGACCCTCGAAACAAATGCTATTCGAGTTCATTGGAGTTCATTGAGACATTGTGTAAAATTGTATTCTGAATCATCACGGATATGATCTAAGTCAAATTTACTGTGATATCGGGAAAGCTTGCATGAGCTTTGACTGATGTTGTTTTTTATCCGAAGTCAGCAGCTACTGAGACTTTTTGAACTAATTACTTTTGAATTACTTGTACAAACCTCTTTTACTGCATGGCTTTGAAAAGTACATACCTGGTATAGAGTATTAGAATTCTATAACCTAAGTTAACTAAGCTTTGTAATATGAACCATCTTCCTTTTATGATATTGGATTAATTCTTTGCTTCACAAAAAGTGAGCCGGTTGTATTTATTTCATGGTGGATACTACTTGTTGATACCAGAAGTTTAAAACCACCCATGTCAATCATTAAATAGCTAGATAGACAGCCAGGTCAAAGTAATCTAAACAATCGACAGACATTTTATTCCTTGAGGATCTAACCCCATTGTGAGTGTGCCAGCAGTGTTACTATTCAAACCATCCGAATTTGGAATATCTATATGGGAGAAGTGATAATATATGGAATCGAATTCGTCAACTGTGAAGTACACAGTTCTAGGTGAAATTCCACCTTCCTTTATGACAATAAGTGACATGTAAGTGGCATCCATAAAGTATGCAAGATTGCAAGTCAGTATATACCACTGATTGGTATTACTAATCATTTTACAATATCTTACACTTTCTTAACAACATTTATGGTTTCAGGCATGTCATCTAAATATTTCTGGTTTCTGGTATTTTCATCACAAACTGTTATATTTGCCCCAGAAAATGGAAAAGGAACAAGAAAGGCGCACTAAAGATGATACCTAGACTGTGATTAAGGCCGTAAAGCAACAAAAATATGAAAACAACCAAACCTAGGCTATAGATATTTGCTACTATATCATAAATCGTTATTATTAATAGCATATAATCACCGCTTGAAAGTGAGAACTAGATCGTGTTTCTGATACCAATTCGATCAAGTAGTGGTGCAATTTACTCAAAACGGATTTCATAATTTCTAGTGAAGTGTATAAAAAACACTTAAGCATTAATGATAATAGAAGATATTTCCAGTAATCATAATTATCTTAAAGAAAATACCTACTTTTCTGCTGAGTATTTCGTGATTTAATTTGCAGAAATTCGTTTTGAAAACATTTAGTCTTTTGACCTGACCACTGAAACGTGATTCGAGAAAAAGTATATATCAAGTTTTACAAGTAAGAAAAGTAATTAATTTGAATGAGCTTCTGTTCTCCTATTTTCTTCTCTTTTTTGTTTTGAAAAAAGAACAAAATTTGTACGTTGAGCATAAATTGTTTGCCTACACACTTAAAAAGATATCGGTGTGTGTGAGTCAGTATGCTGTATGTATTTAATTACACGAGAAAAAAGGTATATGCGTATTAAGTGTTAGAAATTTGAGGATGTCTTAAATTAAGTATCCACTTAAATTCTACACTCAAGCACGCACGTAAATTATTTCACAGTTAGTTAACATCTGTTCTCTTTCTTTTATCTGTAGAGAGAGAGAGAAAGACAGATAGAGAGAGCAAGAGAGAGTAGCTTTAAGTCACAATAACTCAGTTAAGTTTAAGTTGTGACTTAAAAGGCTAAAAGGAAAACATCCAACAAATTAAGGACAGGGATGTGTAGTGGATAAATGTGTGAATTTATAAGACGGCGACAGGAAGAACGAGAATTATGCATGTCGAACTAATAAGTAATAGAGAATCTGTTAATTGTTGCTATATATTTACGATTTAGCGTTTCATTATCTTTCAGATTTGTCAGCTGGATATACCTGAATCTTTTTATGTATTGACATTCTGGCTGAAATACAGGCGAAGACAACTAGCTTTTTCTGAACAGAAGGAAATAGGCACCAAAAAAATCTATTCCTATTCACATACCACGATAGACAATATTAAAATGAAAACCAAAAAAACAATGACATTTTATAATGACTACTGAACACTCTACTAGTCAGTGACAAATTTCTAGGAACCAGGGTGTACAGGAGAGCCGTTCCGTCCTAGTTTGGGACTTTTCATCAGTATGAACCAACGTCTCTCTCCAGAGATCGAAACCAGGAGCTTCAGGTTATGAGTCGAACTCGCTGGCCATTCAGCCG